AAGGATCCACGGAGTACCCGTCCGCTCCGCCAACTGCGCCGGCGTCCTGCGCGGCGGAAGGGGAATCTACCGGCGGGGGGGCGGTATGCATGGCGGCGGCAATCCCAAGGTTTGAGTCCAGGTCGGAGAGTCTGGAGGGTGAACGAGAAACTGTTTTTGAGATTTCTCAATACGAGGCACCTGGGCGAGACGGAAGGAGGCAGAGGGCAGACGGCAGATGACGGATTGCTCAGCGGGGTAGAGTCAGGGTGTAGCAGCAGACAGCTGCGACTGGTGAGCTAAGTCGAGAGGAACAGCAGTAACGAAGAATAAAGCCGTGCAAAGCCGTGTGACACAAGTGAAAGGAGTGCGATACGCGACAAGCACGACGAGGATGTGACACGTGAACTCTCTGCTGTGGAGTGGATTGAGTGGGGGACATGTGACCTCGCTGCTGTGTTGACCCCTGGCTGGCTGAATCTGATCGGAACACCCATTGCGATTGGTGGGATTCAAGGGGATGCGATTAAAACACATTTCTAGAGCAAATGCTCTATTTGATAAAGGCCACTCAAATGCGATACCCCAAACTGAAAACAGAGTGAGCCACTGGCCAATACCCTGACAATAGCACCCTAAATCCTAAGACTAAACCTAGTGATAAAGAGGTAACCTATTGGTGGGGACGGGAGCTGATGCTTGGCTTCTTCATGGCCAAGGGATTGCTAGAGCTGGGTGCTGCTGCAAACCCGTTCTTTGGGATCTTGTTGTTCACCAGGCCCTGCAGTGTCTTCGCCTCCAGCTCTGCAATCGATTTCTGTAGCTGCTCTTTCTTCAATTGCTGCCCGTGTGTGTGTGGATCAAGGGCCAAGACAGAATCTGGAACCTCTCTGACATGTGAAGCAGGCCCCAGATGTACACCGTCACCCCTGCTGGATGCAGCCACCTTTGGTCCAAGGTTGCTGCTATGTAGTCTCCCCTGAGAATCACCATCTGAATCCCTCCTTCCAGTCTGCAGTCCAAGTTCCCCTGATTTGCCCAACATCCGTGAATGCGCATCAGGATCTAGCTCCTTGCTCCCCTCTCTCTGTAGTGCAGACAACTTCGATGGCAGTGCTGCATCAGACTTAGAAGCATACTCCCTGCCTGCACTCGAGAAACTCGCGGCCGCCTTCTCAGAGGCCGCCTTACGAAGGTCCAACCCGCCAAGCTCCTCGCGCTCATGTGATTGTGGTGACAAATGATGGCCCCTGCTCGGGCTCCACGAGGAAGACGTGTCGGATTCAAGGCTTGCAACTGAAGACGAAAATCTTCCACCACGTTCCCCTCCCTTGGACAGTTCGCCTGGGCTTTGCTCCTGCAGATGCTTTGGCGGAGCTCTTCCCAAATCACCCTCCAAATCCCTCTTGACCATGTCTCCAGAAACATGCTGGTCTCCCTTCGCATCCATGCCCCGTTGCCTCTCCTGCAACAGATTCTCTCCCACATTGGCCCCCTCTCGTCTTCTGACTCCAGCTGTTCCCTCCTGATAGTCAGCCCTCTCCCTGTCAGCTCCTCCCTTACGACCTCCACCAGAGTCGCCCTTGGAACCGGAAACCCTGTCAAGCTTCGAATCAAGGTCCCTGGGTTCCCTTCTAGCCTGCCAGTAAGCCTCCTGGTCCCTTTGTGCTGCCGCCATCCTCTGGTAAGCTCGACCCCCATGGCCTGAACCATCCTCCTCCCCATCACCCCTCCTATCTCGCTCTACACCCTCATGCCTGCCACCATCGTACTGCTCCCTTCGGTTTTGCTTAGCCCAAGGTTCCTCACCAGGCTCCACGTCTCTCGACTGGTACCTCCATGCCTCAGCTCTGCGAAAAGCTTCTTCTCTGGACCAGTCACGCGGATCCCACTTCTTCCCCCCTGGCCCAAAGTCGAATCGATGAGGCGCGACGCCATAGTATTCCCCATCTCCACCATTTGCGTACATGTGTGGAGGCTGCATCCCTGCCCTCTGCTGAGACAACCACCAGGGAGGAGCATTGGGGTCCTGCACCAACTCGCCCCATTTCGCCGGAGGGGAACGAGAAGAATCCCTTGAAGGGTACACGTGCTGGCGGGGTGTTGGCTCGGTACGTCCTTGCTCGCGACTGTGGTCCAGATCCCTCACCCAGCCTCTTCCGCGGCCGTCGTGACCTGCATCTCTGCCTGGGCCGTCTCGACCAACGCCCCAGCGTGGATCCCTCTCCATTGCCTCACGATGTCCGCTGGAGCTATGATGAGGCGCTACCCTCTCCCAGTCAGGGCGCGACGGATGGTGCCTGTCCCGCGGGTCTCCGTGTACATCCCACTCTCCTTTCGCATGCATGTTCCCGCTGCCACCCCCGTCATTCGAGTAATATTCCGGCTCGGCTCGTTCATCGCCACCCCTGCGGAAGCCTACCCTTGAATCGCCGTGATGCAGCAGCGGTTGAGAACGCGAAGAATATGGTACGCCGGGTTCCAGGAGTCCGTTGAAACGACCGCCAGGTCCAGGGAACCGCTCGTGCTCTCGATGAGGATTTCGGCCAAGGTCGTTCGAGCTCGAACCAGGCATAGGGCCAGAGAAACTGTCCATCTTGCCTCTTCTATGCCTGTTCCTCACTGCAAGTAACCGCTGCCAATACCGCATCTCCAGCTCTTGCATCTCATGCTCCCTCTCCAGCCGAAGCTCCTCCTCCTCCCTTATCAGGTCGTCGTCCCCGTCACCTCTTTCTAGCTCACCAGAAGAACTCCACGGGCTCGCAAATGCTCTTGGAAGTTCCGCCACGGACTGGCTGTGCAGCATAGGATCCCATCCTCCGGACGCCTCGCTGTGCCTCTTGAGCTCAATCACAGCGCTGAAATCAGTCAGGCTCTTCCTCCCGCTCGATGCTGAATCCCTCCTGAGATCACTCGAACCATCCGACGGTAGCGAAAGGGCAATATCATCAGCTGCGAACCTCTTCACTGGTGCGTCTCCAGGCACGCTGGCTGCCGTTGCCTCCTCCCCCTGAACGTGGCCTTGGCCGTCTTCAGAATCGCTCAACGTTCCCGATCCTCGCTGCTGCGCTCCTTCGTCCGACTCATCGCTGGAGAACCCGGCCCCGCCATCAGCGACTGTGCCTGGTAGGCCTTCCCAGAAGCGACCATGAGTCACACCAACGTGGTCCAAGCCTCCGTTTGCAGGCGAGCCAGAGAAAAGCTTCGTTGACGCAGAAGGCGAGGTAGCACTTGGCCAACCCCGTTGGCAGGAATGAGATCGAGAACGCGAACGCGAAGGAGAGGCTGAACGCGATCTGTCCGAAGATCGCCCGGGCAACGAATTGGATGACGAAATTGTACTCAGGTGAACCTCTCCAACTTCTTCACCTTCCTCTTCATGCTCTTCTTGATCGTCCGCATCACTGACCTCACTCCTGGTTCCATCCGAGCCCTCGGTTTCGTCAAACGATGGCCCCGGTTTCCAATCCGGCACGAGCTTCATGATTTCCGCGTCTATCATCTCAGCAATGCTGGTAACATCTTGGTCGGACAGGGCGAGCTCTTCAACCATCTCACTCGCGACGCTAAAAGCAGTGTCTTCTTCCATGTTGAACGGAAAATGGATGTTGCGCACCAAACCTGAGTATCAAGAGAAAAAGGGTGAGGGGAAAAGCGAATTAATCACAAGTATCAAGCAGAAAAGGAGAGGAAGAAAACGAAATAATCCAAATCACCAAAATACTAACTTGTTAGCAAAACCTTACCTTCTGAATCGACGATCCTCAAACGTAAGAACACAGTGTGATCATCGTCTTCAACGAGCTTTCCCTTCACTTTAAAATCTCTACTGCAACGAAGTCGATCTGCTTCATGCAAACCCTCGAGATCACTGTCGCTGGATCTGCTTGCACTGCTCTTGAGCTGTTGATCATTCTCAGCATTTCCAGACGCTGTAGATTGCACCTCTGTCTGCAACGCAGGCTTCTCCGGACTCGACTTCGACCTGAAAGAATCCTGACCTCGGCTTCCCACACTTGATAAGTCGCTTCCTTTGGACATGGAGCGAGAGAGATGCGACATGTCAAGGTTTCCGAGGCCCCCACGATCACCATCATTGAGAAAAGGGTCCATCAACAATTCCCTTGCTGGAAGGCGGCGTGAAGCAGTGGCCAGGCACTTCTCCACGAACGCTCGCACTTCTGGGTCCTTAACCTTGTCCAGCGCTGCAGGCTTCTTGCCCTGTAATTAAAAAAGAGACCTTAGGCGGATATTCGCGACGGAAGATAAAGCATGGCAGGTCACTATGGCTTACCGAAACAACTTTCTTGTAGATCTGTGCAGCGTTCTTGCACTCGCTGTAAGGATACTCCAGAGTAACCATTTCCAGTACGCACATGCCGAAGGCATAGATGTCGACGAGCTCGTTGTATTCCTCTTCGTACAGCTCTGGAGCCATGAACTCGGGAGTACCTGAATCCAGAGAACCCAATATAAGCAACTGCTGCAACCACGGCTCCAAAAAACGTGAGAAATGAGTACGGCGACGCTTACCGATGACGCTGTGCGCGGCGTTTTTGTGTTTCAGAATAGCTGCAAGCCCCAAATCGCCAATTTTCACCTCTCCTTGGTTCCCGTTGACAAAGATGTTGTCACACTTCAGGTCTCTGTGAATGATAGGAGGGTCATGGCTGTGAAGGTACAGGAGGCCTCGAAGTATCTGACGAGACCAGTTCTTCACCGCTTTCATGTCACAGTGCTTGTGCTTCTTCCGGTACCTGAAAGCAATAATATTATCACGGTTAATATCAACAGATTTATTGAAACCAGGCAGCAAACGAATCAGCTATCTTACTGTCTCAGCGTGCCCGACGTGAAAATCTCGGTGATGAAGTTGACGTTCTTGGACTTAATGTCCACCCAAGAGTTGTAGAACTTTATGATGTTCTTATGCTTGAGGGTCTTCAGAAGCCGCACTTCTGAGAACAGTCGCTCCAGGTCCTCTTGGCACTGAAACACCTCTTGCACTTTCACTTGATTCCACGCCACCTCAATCCCATCCACTTCATCAAACGCCTTATAGCTGCGCAGGTCGAGGGCAAAAGAGCATCAGACATACAGAACACAGAATAAGGATATTAACGGCAATGAAGAAAGAGCTCGCAAGCCAAAAAAAAAAGGGGAGCTTTAGCACTTACACGGTCTTAACGGCACCCTTTCCAAGGACAGTCTCATACTGCAGGAAAACAAAGTAAAAGACGCAACGTCAGACCCCAAAACAAAAACACATAACGAGAATCGCATGAGGGCACAGGAATACAAGCACTTACACGACCGTATCTTCCAGTAGGATCCCTTTCAACAATCTTTTCGTCATCGTCGTCATCGTCGTCGTCGTTCACGTCGGCTGGTATGCCATCGGGTGGTAAGTCCTCGGATGCGGCTCCAACTTCTTCCTCCATGAGCGATTAATGGTTAACGACACACCGAGCAACGGAAGAACCACCGAATTCCCTTTTAACCAGCTCCAGAGACCAAAGCTCAGAAGGCTGTCCGGCCTAGCAACTTGGATGTTTAGCGAAGAAGATGGCATGCTAGGAATCCGCCATAGCCAGAGGGCATGAGAGCCTCAACTGATGAAACCCTGGATTCAGAGTCAGAGGCTCACCCAGCCTTCACCCAACCAGCCAGACACCCAGCCAGGCAGACACCCAAACCAGCCTTCGCCCAAGCCTCAGTCAAGAAGCCAAACCCGATTCACGAGGGTTTCGTGGGCTGCTGCTGAGTCCGACGCCTGCCCACGGCGGAGAATTTCTGCCCAAGAAAGAGCGGAGGCCCAAGGCACCGTTGATCAGCTCAATCTTGTGCCAGGTATTCGGATAACGGCCAGGGGCAGCCCAAATGGATATTCGCTGGGTGCTCCACCAAACATCAAACTTCCCGGAAGGTTTGCGGCAGGCTGCGAACAGGCGGGAGGTGCAAGCATGGCACAACGCCGTCCCTGATTCGTTGGGGATTTGTCGGAAGGGTAGTTTGGGAAGCAGCGGTTACCAGCCTCCCTTCGCTTGAGCCGTCCTCAAGGCACGTTGGGTTGGCGAAGGGGCCGTTTCAGCCCATAACGAAAATTCTAGTAAACTCAACAAAGATTTGCTTGGATTTCCTCTTTCTAGTTCGAGTACATGTTATAAGTCTCAAACAGCTAGAATCGGAAGTTGGTATTATCTAGGAGACAAAATACAATGGCAACATAAAAACAACCCCTGCACTAGAATATAGCTTGGCACGCAACATACGGTCGAGGCTCAGCATAGTCGAGACGTGTGGCTGAAAATTGGCGCGGAGCACGCACGGCGAACATGAACCTAAATACTGCAAAGGGCCACACTTGGGTAATGCTGTTTGGACTGCCAATATATATCTTGCATATATTATAGGCTAGATAGGTGCAGTCCTATAGAGAGCACAACACCTTAGACAAAACTGTTGAACGAAGGACGCTAGGAAGCCATGGAATGGCACGAGGGTTTAGCTAGGAGAAAGTTACGAGAGAAAAGAGAGATCGAGAATAGAAAAGAGAGGGATACAAGGAGAGAGGTTGTACCCTTTACAGTAGGTTTTAGTAACACCTACCAAGCCTACCAATTATATATCAAAGATATAATTTAACACACCCCCTAGGCTTGGTAGCCCAAAGCACACCACACACCGGACACTAAGCCACACACACCCCCTAAATCTAGCACCCCGATACTCAGTAGTAGCAACGGCTATACCTCCTCCCCAGTCAACCCCTCGGTGTGTGAGGCGGCGACGTCGACAGCGGCGGCGGCGGGGCTCGCAGCACTCGGCGGCGTGGCCGGGCTCCGCGACGGTGGGAAGGCCAGTGGGAGGCAGCCATCGGCTGCGGCGAGGAAGAGGGGACGGAGGGAAGAGGGGGCGGGGCTTCTGCAACACGCCCGTGGCTGGCGTGCGGGCGTCAGGACGTGCGATGTCTAAGACGTTGCGCGGCCCGCTGCTGCTCGTCGACGCCGCCACCGCAGCATAGCGCCGCCTCCACAGCGCGGCGTCGATGCCGCGGCGGTACATCAACGCTGCGACGGCAGCACGACGCCGTCGCCGCGGTGTGGCGTCGACGCCACGCGTTGGGGCAGCGATGGCAGCACTACGACGCCGTCACTGCAGCGCGGCATGGCCGCGACGGTGGTACGAAAGTAGGGACGAGTGAAATACGAGTACGCGGCGGAAGCGTGGGGAGTAGGCCCGGGAAGGGCAACCTGCTCTAATACCATATTGAACGAAGGACACTAGGAAGCCATGGAATAGCACGAGGGTTTAGCTAGGAGAAAATTACGAGAGAAAAGAGAGATCGAGAATAGAAGAGAGAGGGATACAAGGAGGGAGGTTGTACCCTGTATAGTAGGTTTCAGTAACACCTACCAAGCCTACCAATTATATATCAAAGATATAATTTAACAAAAACTATCATGTAATACATATTCTAGTCAATCTTTCTCCTCTGAGATGGTATCAGAGCTAGCGATGTCAACCCTTCGTCTCATTGGTCTTCCCTCCCCTGACCGTCCACCTGCGCCTCCCCTGCCTATCTACGGTCCTGTGTTTCCTCCGCCAGACTCGTCTCCGACCCATTTTCCCCCGCGTTCTTCTCCTGTGTCTCCTTCTGTGTCTCCTGACCCCAAGCCTCCGTCTCACTACTGGTCTCGTCGTCCCTCTCGTGCTCGTCTTGTCTCTCCTATCCAGCGCTTTCACCCTATATTGATACGTTCCCACGCATCTCGTCTTCCCCTCCTCCCGTGGCCTCCTCCGTCGTCGATGGCTATCGCTCCGCCTCCCATGTCTGACTTCCTCCGTACCGCTAGTCCCCTTGTTTCTCGAGTCCTCACCTCTCTTGTTACCGACCCGTCTGTTCCTGTCTCTAGTCTTGACGCTCTTGTCGATGTCGTCACTAACTTTACCGCTACCCGCCACCTTGACTACGCCACCGCTCTAGTCTGTGACCCTGCCCGTCCTCCGTCCGTCGAGGGTGCTCCTACCCTTGGCAATTCATCCGTGCCCAAACGACACTGAATCCTCGATATATCCGCTAGCTCGACTTCATTTAGTCAAACTTACATTACAGTGTCACCTACAAGCGAGGGGTCAACAATATCGCCGACTCACTAACCCACCCATCTGTCTACACAGCCATTATCCTATTTACCCAGAACAACCCAATGATAACTGGCCTATTCACCCACAGATAGAATGCTGATCCATTCTATATCACCAATAGCACCAATAGCTAACCGCCAAATAAGGACCCTATTACAAAAAATCCAGTACCAATCGGATTTTGGTCCTCGCCTACCGCATACTACGGGTCACTACGGCATTGAGGAAATGGCAAAACTCATGAGTTGTCATTATTATGGGTCGGACTTATCGACGGATGTGCAACGGTATGTTACCTCTTGCGCCACATGTCAGCTGATAAAGTCGACCTGATTTCAATCAGCATGGTTATTGCAGCCACTCAAGCCACCGAGCAAGCCCCGGCAACAAGTGACGATGGACTTCGTCACAGCCCTGCCAGTCAGTCCAAGTGGTAATGATGCGATCCTCAATTACGAAGATTGCTTGACGAAAACGGCTCACGTTACGGCCTGCAAAATGACAATCAACGCCGAGCAGACAACGAAATTATTCCTCCCTAACATCGTGCGGCTGCATGACATGCCATCGGCAACCATTAGCAATCGAGACCCACGGTTTACGTTCAACTTCTAGACAAAAGTCTGAGAATAATATGGCACACGTCTCCATCTTAGCACAGCCTACCACCCGCAATCGGACAGACAGACTGAATGCACAAATCAGACTATAGAGTAGCTGATTCGCACGACTAAAACAAACCTGACATCGTGGGAAGATTCCCTCCCCTTGATCGAGTCTGCCTATTATAATGCTCAATCTGCAACGACTACTCAGTCGCTGTTCTTCCTCAAATACTAGATCTGGAATCTCCCCTCTCACCACCCGTCAAGAACCCGACTCCTGGGTCTTAGGAATTTGTCGAAGACCTGCGACATACTCAGCAAAAAGCCACTAATGCCATCACCAAAGCCAACCAGATGGCTAAGTGGAACGCTGATCAGCACGGCCGAGATTTAAGCCTCGCCCCTTGGCAACTGGTATTGCTCGATACCAAGAATTTGGGAATAACCCTTCCAGTTAGACTACGAACACGATTTGGTGGACCATTTCGCATTATCGGCATGGTGACATCCGTCATCGCCCAACTACAGCTACCCACTGACTGGCGAATCCACGATTCGTTCCACATCAGCCTTCTGCAGCCGTTCGTCCCAAGTAGGACCAACCTCGGTCGTCAACATCTCAATCCAACAAACGGTCAACCGGTACCCAAGCCAACGACAGAACCGGCCAAGATTCTCGCTCACATACGTGGTCACCGAGACCCAACAACCGTTAATTTCCTTGTCCGTTGGGCTAATTTGCCTGCAACTACGCTCGGAGATAACAAGGTTGTCTGGGACTACTTACAACGACATCGTGTCTCGGATGTAGGTAGCCTCATTTCGGAAGGGGGTGGTGGTGTAAGGAAAATCCCCTTTCTTTGCTGGGCTCGACTACAGTATAGAGTGTATACCCTCGACTCTTGGAAGGTTAGGCTCGGCCAACTTTTTCGGTCCCGAACCACTTTGCGAACCCAAACCTCCGACATGTGCCATGTTTTCTCCCCGCAGCTCGCCCGCACTGCCATTTCTTTTCTATCTCGCCTCACCTACCCCCTCTAGCACCACCTTTCTGTCTCGCTGAGCCACACTACGGAGCACATGCTCTGCTCTCGTCGCTCTTGTTCTGTAATGCACCTTTCTAAACACATAGCTAGGCGACTCTAGTCTGTTAGGACTGTATCTAGTTGCTCTTGTCCCGCGATTGCAAGTGACTCGTAGGTTTGCTTGGTCTCATATTTCCATATCAAACAGTGCTCAAGCACCTCGAGCTCTCATTGGGCTTGCTAGCGCAGCTCTGAGGGAAGAGGCGTTGGCTCGTTTGGGGTGCTTGCAAAAACCCGGCAGGTTCTGCGTGATGTCAAATTGCATAGAGGGGGTTTGTGGATTCGATTACCAACCCGAACCTGATCAAACTGCCCCTAGTTTGATAATTGCCCACTGCCCAGGGGTTGACTTTTCTACTTTGGGACCTAGGCTTTAATCCGGGCTTGGCATTGCGCCATGCGGGCTGTTTGCGAGGCCACATTGTTATCGCCAAGTCCGACTTCGTGAAACTGCGAAGCGCCACACGTGTCCACCCCTAAACGTACACCTACCATCACCCGAATCAAAACTAATACATGCGTCGAGCGCATTAGGGCGTGTCACTAAAGTACGTGCTCTGTACAACACCGAGTCCAGTTACCACATTTAGGTGTGTAACCATAAAATACGCAGTTATGATATAGGAAGTGTTAATGGATTATAACGTGAGAATACAATGTCGCTATTGCAATGAAGGCACGAGGTTATATAAGGGGTTGGCGTGCTAGGGCGATAACCTCGGAACGTGGGTAGGTTCGGCAATGTGGCGACAGTGCCGGACGCGACTCGGGAAAGGCTTGGGCCGACAAATGAGGCCGAACGTGACGAGTCGAGGAGTTCGGGTGTATGCGCTAGCGTACGACCCATAAGGAATGGAAATTGATTACACACGCGCGAATAGGACACGTCCAGCTCACACCCGAAATTGGCGGACACAAGAGTACGTTTCCAGGTACCTCCGCACGTAAAAAAAAGACCGCACAAAAAACAAATTCGCCAACCAATACCAACACCACCTGTAGCGAAATATTTGTGCGAAACTTTGCAGCCTCGCACGTTGCTAGCGAACAACCTACCCCCCGCTTCGCCGATTGGCCCTCTTTTTGTTGCACGTGCCTGTTGTGTTGGTTTCGCATGGCGGGACCCTGTTACCCGCCTCTATGTCTGTGCTGGTCTTGGTGCTATCCTTCCGAACCGCACCCTTCATTTCGGACCTGTTCCCAAAGCGAGATCGGTTTCGAAATCGATTCACATTGCGTACCGTCAAACGGCTCCGTGTGTCAAAAACGTGCAAACGATTTTTGGGGACACGCCCTTAGGGTGCATGTGTATTGAGTGGGGTGCATGTACCCTCAGATGCATCGAAGGTCTCGAGTTACCGCAAATTCGCACACTGGTTCTCGCGAAACAAAAACGATGTTACAATAGGGTTACTTTGCACGAATTGAACAGCGCCTGAACTATTTTGACCCGTCCTTAGGGGGTTGATCAGCGGCGTTCGAACGGGGTCTGTTCGAAGGGGTCACCACCCTGCACCATCTTGCGTTTTACTGAAATACGCAGTACCGTATTTAACCTTTTCAAAAAGTCCGTACGAGCCGCCTTTTCGCAGCCTATGATCCACGCCCTTATCTTCCCTGCCCCTCACCAGATGAAGTGGAGTGTCCAACACGTCACCAGCAGGCTCTTCTTCCTTCGTCACAGGACATGGCTCACACGAGTTTACCAAGTGAGTTTTCCTGGATGGCAGCGACGACGCGAATCACGGACCTCCCTGACGACTGCCTCGCGTGCGTGCTCTCCTTCCTCCCTCCCGCGCTAATCGCCCGCTGCGCCTTCGTTTCCTCGGCTTGGCGCGCTGCTGCCGCGTCCCCCGTGGCGTGGGCGCGCGCGCTGCCCGACCTCTGCCGCCACCCCTGCTTCACCGCGCTACCGCTCGCCTCCCACCAGCGCCACCCACGCGCGTGGTGCCGCGAGCTGTGCCGGGGGTTGCTGCTGGACGGTGGGGCGTTCCACGCGCGCATGGACCCGCGCACGGCGAAGCTGACGCTGAGCGTGAGCATCGCGAAGGCGTGCGGCATCGCGTGGCTGAACGACCGCCGCTACTGGCACACGGAGACGCGCAGCGCCACTGGCGCGCTGTTCCCCGAGGTGCCGCACCTGCTGACCGTGTGCTGGCTCGACCTCAGCGCGCAAGTCGCGCTACCGTTCCCCCTGCGCTGCGGGGAGTATGACGTGGCGTGGCGCATGGCGCGCGACCCCACCCGCGACGAGTACGAGCGGGGTGGAGGGGAGGGGCGGAGGCACGTGAGGCTGTTCCAGGGGGGTGGGGAGGAGAGCGAGGAAGACGAGTGGGAGGAATGGGAGGGGGAGGAATGGGAGGGGGAGGGGGGGAGGAGGATGAGGGCGAGGAGTTGGATCCAGGAGGAGGAGGAGGAGAGGATGGCGAGGAGCAGCTAGGGGGGGAGGGGATGGCAGGTGCACGCGCTGGCGAGGCGGCAGGTGGTGGTGGTGGTGGCGGGGGTGTGGGTGGCAACCCGTTCCACCACATGGCGAGACTCATGCCCCGCCTGGTGGGCCGCGAGCACGAGGCAGACCAATGGCACACTGAACAGCAGGGACAGCAGGGCACAGGGCAGCAGCAGGTGTGGGAAAGAAGGAGGGAGGCGTGGGGGCGCGTGCAGCAGCGGTGCTGGTTCAGTTGGGTGGGGCGGCCCACATGGAGCAACGTGAGGGAGGAGGGCAGTGCGGGAGGGGGGGGAGGCGAGCAGAGGCAGCTGCGCATCTCTGCTGCCAACGTTGCCATGCTGCCTGATTGGACCACCTTTCATGCAGGCCGTGTGGTCATACGGGGGGCCACCGCAGGGGAGGGGGCAGTGGCTCCTAGGCTGAGTGTGCGGTTGTGGGAGACGGAGAGTGGGTGGTGGAAGGATGGGCTCTACTTCGATGCGCTGCAGCTCACAGAGCTTTGATTACTTGCAACGTATCTAGACACCATTGAAGATACGACATTATAGGACCTTGCTGGAGCAATTGTATGTCCAGAGTAACACAATAGTGTGGTGCTATACCTGTCAACTTATACATTTGCTGTGCATCTCAAGTTATAGGCTAGATGGGTTTGTGCTCTTAGAGAGAACAACATCAACCCCTAATATGACCTTGTATGCATTGGATGATTTTCACTTCGATACTTTGACATGGTACCGGTGTTAACGTGAGAAGGAATAATAACTAGAGGTGGAAACCTAGAACAAATACTAGTTCGTTGTCTTAGAAACTTAGGACTCAAGGTTCTTAAACTTAGGAGGCTAGGTTGGCTAGGATACTAGGAAGAAGGCCGCCATGGAATAGCGTGAGGAAAAACGGATCTAGGAAGGGAGAGAATGTCGAGAAGAACGGATCTAGGAAGGGGTTTGATTAGGAAGAGAGGGGAGTACAAGGAGGGGTTTGTACCCCCTACAGTAAGGTTCAGTAACAACCTACCAAGCCTATATTAAATTATAACTTATATAATTTTAACACACCCCCTAGGCTTGGTAGTGTCAAGCCCACGCACACCCCCACACCCACACCCACACCCACACCCCCTAGCCCAGCACCCCCATTCCCAGCAGGAGCCGCAACGACTCCGGAAGAGGGTAGGTCTCACGGCCCCTTGAGACGGCAATGGCGGCAGCAGCGACAGTGACGGCGGCGGCGGCGGCGGCGGTTTGCGGCGGCTCCAGGCCTGCGGCAACAGCGGCGGCGCCGGCGGCTCGAAAGACAGAGGCTGGTGCGGCGGCCCCCGCCCTCTCGGCGGCATGTCCTGTCTCCTTGGCGGTGGAGAGGTCCCTCACATGGCAATCATCGGCTGCAGCAAGAAAGGGGGGGATGCAGGGGAAGCAGGTGCAGGTGGGGGGGGGAGGGGAGGGGGCGGGGCGAGGCGAGTCTTCAGCGACGCGCCATAAGTGGCGCGGCGCTTACTGGCAGGAGGGCGGGCAGGTGGCGGTTACGACGGCGTGCTGCCCGCTGCCGCCCATCCACGCTGCCGCGGCAGCATGAAGACGCCGCCAGGGCGCGGCGTCGACGCTGTGGCGGCACGCCGACGCTGCAACGGCAGCAAGGTGACGCTGCCACGGCAAAGCGTCGACGCAACCGGCTGCGGCCCGACGGCGCCGTCGACGCTGCAGCAGGACGTCGACGTCGCGACGGCAGAGGCAGCATCGATGCCGCAGCGGGACGTCGACGCTGCGACTGCAGAACGACGGCCCGACGCCACGGCAGCGCGTCGAGCCGGTCGCGGCACGACGCGGCCAGTGGCAGCGCGACGTCGCCACTGCAGCAAAACGCGGCCGCCATGGCCGCTCGAGCTAATGAGAGTGAGGAGTAAATTGCGGAAGCGTGAGGAGGCGATCCAACAGGGAGGATCTCCTGCTCTGATACCATCTTAGAAACTTAGGACTCAAGGTTCTTAAACTTAGGAGGCTAGGTTGGCTAGGATACTAGGAAGAAGGCCGCCATGGAATAGCGTGAGGAAAAACGGATCTAGGAAGGGAGAGAATGTCGAGAAGAAAGGGGTTTGATTAGGAAGAGAGGGGAGTACAAGGAGGGGTTTGTACCCCCTACAGTAAGGTTCAGTAACAACCTACCAAGCCTATATTAAATTATAACTTATATAATTTTAACAGGTTGTACTCACTATAAGCATACCTCAGTCTAGCCTATAACTTCTATATAGCTAATATGTATATGTTGACACACCCCCTAGGCTAGACAAGGGGTGAAACTAAACAAGAAGCAAACATCTCAGGGCGGCACTACTAGTCCAACCACTGAGGCAGGGGTCTGGAGACCAGTCAGCAAGAATACAACCAAAACTAAAGCAAACCAGGGTGGCACTACTAGTGTAGCCTCTGGAGGTAAGGCCACAAGGCCAGTCTGACAAGCATATATAATAGAGAGTACACAATCACGATCCTAACAGCGGAGCAGCTACAGGAACAAGACCAAGCTGTACACAGTGCCGCTGATGATCTTTAGGCGCAAACGCCTTAGTGAAGATATCAGCTGTGTTGGCACCAGAGGCCAAGAGGACTACGCGGGCCTGGCGGCGCTGCTGTAGCTCGCGCAGGAGGAAGTACCGCAGCTGGATATGCTTCGCTCTGCCCTCAAGCCGAGGCTCCTGACACACGAGTATCATGGCCCTGTTGTCAGCGTATAGGACCGGGGCAGAGCTAGGCCGCTCACCTAAGTCTGTGAGCAAGAAGGTCAGCCAGCGGAGCTCCTGTGCCGCCATGGCACCAGCGTAGATCTCAGCCTCACAGCTAGACTGAGCCACAGACGACGAGCGAGTGGATCTCCAAGAGATAGCACCCAAACCAAGGCTGAAACAGTAGCCCTGCGACGACCTGAGCGTCTCAGCGTCGTCTGCCCAAGAAGCGTCTGTGTGCCCAGTAAGGACCACTGGCCTGCGTCCTCCTAGCACCAACCCCATGCCCGATGTACTAGCAAGATAACGCAAAACCCTCTTAGCGGCAGACCAGTGCTGAGGTCGGTGTCTGCCTGTGGCCACAAAGCGAGCCAGGATGCTGAGAGGGTATGCGAGATCTGGGCGAGTGCAAGTCATCAGGTACATGAGGCAACCCACCAGCTCTGCGTAAGGGCCACTGGGCTCTACTGGCTCCTCAGGAACGGGAGCAGAGAGCCCATGGTCTACGGGTAGAGGTGTGGGCTGTGCGGAGGAGAACTGAAGACCGAACCTCTGAAGGACCTGACGCACCAAGTGTGACTGGGTCAGAGTGATGGTGCGTGCTGCTCTGTCCCTAGAGATCTGCAGGCCAAGATAGCGACGCAGCTCTCCAAGGTCAGTGCAGGTGTGTCTCTTCAGCAGCTCAGCCTTCACAGAGGCCAGTGCGTCCCTGTCAGGAGTAGCGAAGACCAGGTCGTCTACGTAGACAAGGATGTAGAACGGAGTCTGGCCGGAACGCACAAACAGTGAAGGGTCAGCAGAGGACGGAAAGAATTGCAGGTCTGCTAATGTGGCACGTAGCGTGTCGTGCCACTCGCGGGGAGCCTGACGAAGGCCGTAGACCGGGCGCCTGAGAAGCCACTGGGTCCCATGAGGGAAGGTACTAGTGAAGCCCTGTGGTTGGCGCAGGTAGACCTGCTCGTGTAGGCTGCCCTGAAGAAAGGCAGTAGAGAAGTCGAGGGAGTGAAGCTCGTAGTCACGCTGAGCAGCGCCCGAAGAGTGGTCATCTTCGGGGTCGGGGCGAAGGTCTGGAAGAAGTCAACCCCCTCGCGCTGACTGAAACCTCTGGCCACGTAGCGCGCCTTGAAGACAGGCGGCTCTCCAGGGGGGCGCTTCACCTTGAAGAGCCACCGACCATCGATTACGTTCACCCCAGGCGGGGGAACTGCGTCGACGTAAGTGCCGGTGGACCTCCAAGATGCCATCTCCTGCTCCATGGCAGCTATCCACTGAGAGGCCCAAGGTCCCGAGGTGGCCTCAGCGTAGGTGCGAGGGGTCGGGATGTCGAAGGCGTCTGGGTCACCCTCAGGGACTAGCAGCATGGAGCAGAGATGGGGAGCAGCCTCGGAAAGGAAAGCAAGCTCGTACTGCCTGTCCTCTAGGACGTCACTGCCAAGGGCAGGAGCACCCCCGACGGACGGAGGACGGGCAGGGTCAGAGACCAGAGCGGAGGCGTAGTCAAGGCGGCGGGTAGAGGCGAAGTCAGCGACAGCAGCGACAAGCGCGTCAAGGCGCGAGACAGGAACAGCGGTGCCGGTAACAAGAGAGGCAAGGACCCGAGGGACAAGGGGACGAGCAGCACGGAGGTAGTCAGAGAACAGAGGAGGGGCAACAACAAGGCACGAGGGAGGAGGGGACGAGAGGAGGGGAGGACGAGATGAGCGGGAACGGAGCAACATAGGGTGGGTGGGCAGGACAGGAGAGACGGGACGAGCACGGGAGGGACGGCGAGCCCAAACGTGAGACGGAGGGGTAGGGTCAGGGGAAAGCGGAGGAGACACAGGAGGGGAACGAGGAGGAAGACGGGCCGGAGACGAGTCCGGCGGCGGGAACACAGGACCGTAGACAGGGAGGTCAGCAGGCTGTGGGGGAGACACCGTCGCGCGGTCCGGGGAGGGAAGGCCGAGCAGGCGGAGAGCGGAGACCGGCGGCGACGGGTGCTGCTGAGGCGACGACGGCTGGGCCGGAACTCTCGGACCAGCAGAGGAGGAACGACCGTTGGCAGAACACTCAACTAAAGCACCCTCAGAACCAACACCCCCAGAGCGAGAACCCCCGCCAACACCAGCGGCACCCGCAGAAGCCGCAGGACGAACACCCTCCTCCACACCAGCACCCCCAGGGCCAAGAGCGGCAGCGGCAGTGGCGGCGACGAAAGCGGCGGCGACGGCGGCGGCGGCGACGGCGGCGGCGGCTGCGGCAACGGCGATGGCGGCGGCGGCGACGGCGGCGGCGGCTGCGGCGGGGTCGGCGACTGCGACAGTGGAGGCGGAGACGTCAGGGAAGGGGGACGCGGCAAGGACGTGCCGGGGTTACCACCAAAGTCAGCAGACTCCTCAATGGGGACAACCGACGGGAGGGGAGTGACGTGAGAGACACCAGACGGGCAGGACGAGGCGGGAGAGGGGCAGGGGCTACCGGGGGAGAGGGAGCAAGGAACAAGGGGGGGGCAACTGGGAGACCCCGGTGAGGGAAGCGGTGGTAGAAGGAGACGGACTCGTCAAAGGTGACGTCACGAGAGTGGAGGAAGCGGTGAGACGGCGGGTGGTAGAAAAGCCAGTCAGACGAGTCCAGGGGGAAACCGAGGAAGACACAAGGGATAGTGCGGGCAGTGAGCTTGTCCGTGCCAGAGGCACGAACGTGAGCAAGGCAGCCCCAGACGTGGAACGCAGACGCGTCATCGGGGGAACCGGTCCAAAGGAGGGTCGGCGAAACCTGCGGCCGCTGGGAGCGTGGCCACAGGTTAAGCTGGTGAGCAGCGTAGCGAACAGCGGACGGCCACAGAAAATGGGGGGCATCGGCATGGATCATGGAGGTACGGGCGACCTCCATGACCAAGCCGATGCGGCGCTCAGCAACCCCATTCTGCTGTGGCGAGTCCGGCAAGGTGTACAACTGGGTGATGCCCTCCGCACGACAGAACTGTCCAAGCCGACCAGAGGCGAACTCGCCGCCACGGTCGGAGTG